GGGATGGGTGCGGTGGGAGGGAGTTCCACCAAATTCATCCTGGAGTGGTTCAAGAGGGAGGGAATTCCATCAAATTCATCCTGGAATGGTTGGGGTGGGAGGGTATTCTGATCCGGGAATGTTTGGGGTGGGAGGGAATTCCACCAAATTTATCCTGGAGTGGTTCAAGAGGGAGGGAATTCCACCAAATTCATCCTGGAATGGTTGGGGTGGGAGGGTATTCTGATCCGGGAATGTTTGGGGTGGGAGGGAATTCCACCAAATTTATCCTGGAATGGTTCAAGAGGGAGGGAATTCCACCAGATTCATCCTGGAATGGTTGGGGTGGGAGGGAATTCCACTAAATTCATCCTGGAATGGTTTGGGGTGGGAGGGAGTTCCATCAAATTCATCCTGAAGTGGTTCAGGTGGCAGGGAGTTCAGATCCGGGAATGTTTGGGGTGGGAGGGAATTCCGCCAAATTCATCCTGGAATGGTTCAGGTGGGAGGGAATTCCACTAAATTCATCCTGGAATGGTTTGGGTGAGAGGGAATTCCACCAAATTCATCCTGGAATGGTTCAGGTGGGAGGGAATTCCATCAAATTCATCCTGGAATGGTCGGGGTGGGAGGGAATTCAATTAAATTCATCCTGGAATGGTTGGGGTGGGAGGGAATTTCATCAAATTCATCCTGGAATGGTTCAAGAGGGAGGGAATTCCATTAAATTCATCCTGGAGTGGTTGGGGTGGGAGGGAATTTCATCAAATTCATCCTGGAATGGTTCAGGTGGGAGGGAATTCCATCAAATTCATCCTGGAATGGTTCAGGTGGGAGGGAATTCCACTAAATTCATCCTGGAATGGTTGGGGTGGGAGGGAATTCCATCAGATTCATCCTGGAATGGTTGGGGTGGGGAGGAGTTCTGATCCTGGAATGGTTCCTGACACTTCTTCCAATCCTGAAATGTCGGGGATGGGAAGGAATTTCAATTCTGGAATAGTTCCTGACCCTGCTTCTGGTCCTGGAATGGTTGGGGTGGGAGGGAATTCTACCAGATTCATCCTGGAATGGTTGGGGTGGGAGGGAATTCCACTAAATTCATCCTGGAATGGTTTGTTTGGAGGGAATTCCACTCCTGGAACGCTTCAGTTGGAAACTGAAATATTCCATTCCCATGGGCAGGGACACTTTCCCCTATCCCAGGGTGCTCAAGCCTGGCCTTGGACACTCCCAGGGATCCAGGATTAGCCACAGCTCCTCTGGGAATTCCATCCCAACCCTCACAGGGAAGAATCCCTTCCCAATATCCCCAAATCTCTCTTTTTCCAGCCCAAGGCCATTCCCTGTGTCCTGTCCCTCCATCCCTTGTCCCCAGTCCCCTCTCCAGCTCTCCTGGAGCCCCTTCAGGCCCTGCAAGGGGCTCTGAGCTCTCCCTGGAGCCTTCTCCTGGGGAACATTCCCATCCTGGTGGGACAGAGATCCTTCCCTTCTCCAGAACATTCCCACCCTAGCTGGGAGATCCTTCCCTTCTCCAGGTGAACATTCCCAGCCTGGTGGGAAGGAGATCCCCTGGGGAATTTTGGAGCCTTTTGGGATCCAGGATCAGGATTCTGCCCATCACTCTCACATTCCACATTGTCCGGCCAACACTTTTCAGGATTTTCTGACTCTTCCAGAGCCTTCACAGAACAGTTCACTCAGGAGGAAGTTCCAATCCAACAGTCTCTGATCTCCATTCATTTCCCTTTTTTTTTTTTTTTTTTTTTTTTTTTTTTTTTTTTTTTTTTTTTTTTTTTTTTTTTTTTTTTTCATTTGGAACAAATGCTGTGGAATACTTTTATTGTATTTATTCCATGATTTTATGATCAGTCCCCGTTCCAAAAGGCTCTTTCCTAATCCCAGTAAAGGATTCTGATTTCGGGATGACTCAAAGCTTCCCGTCAGGGAGAGAACGAAACAGGATCGGACAATCCGGGGCTGATGTTTTCCCCATCCCGGCTTTTGATCCGTGTGAAATGTCAGATATTTATGGAACGAGGCAGAAATTTCCTTGGCCACGACACCCAGCCCTGAATTAAAGCCTTTCATTCCCATTTCAAAGGGTTTTTTTCGAGGACTTTCAAGCTCCTTCCCCTGGACAAGAGAAGTGGAGAAGGAGCTCATTAGGGCTGGAAATCTTCCCTCTTCTGCCACGCTCTGGTGTTGGCAGCAATTTGGATAATGAGTGCTGAGCTCTTGAGGAACGGCCCTGGAATATTGAGAAATGATTCAAACAACCCCAAAATATTGAGAAATAACTCCAGCGGACTCAAAATAGTGAGAAATAATTAGAACGACCCCAGATTATCGAGAAATAATTAGAATGGCTCCAGATTATTGAGAAATAATTAGAATGACCCCAAAATGTTGAGAAGTAATTCCAATGGCCCCAAAATATTGAGAAGTTATTCAAACAGCCCCTAAATACTGAGAAATCATTCAAATGGCCCCAGAATATTGAGATTATTCGAACGGCCCCAGAATAGTGAGAAATAATTTGAATGGCCCCAAAATGTCAAAATAATTTGAACAGCCCCAAAATATTGAGAAATCATTCAAACGGCCCCAAAATATGGAGAAGTACTAATTCGAATGACCCCAGAATATTGAGAAATAACTCAAATGACATAAAAATATTAAGAAATCATCCCGGTAATTGGTCCTGCCTTGCTGGAGCAGCAGGAWTTTCACAATCCACTATCTTTGGGATCGAAGGAGGATTCGATTGTCTTCAACAGCTTTTGCAGGATAAAAAGCTGGAATTTTTTTTTATTCTTACATCATTTTTCTGCTGTCAAAAAATGGGTTTAATTCAGGGCTCCCATTACTTTCAATCCATGATCCTTTAAATTTACCTATTTGTAAGTGTGGAAGGTTAAATAATTTCTTTTGAATTTACATTCAGTCATTTACAAATTACAATTTACAAATTTAATTCGCGACTAAATAATCACAATCGCTGACATCAAATAATTAACTTCGAATCAACATTTCCATTTGACAACCTTCTGCCTCCTCCTCCCTCTCTCTCTGACAATTTCTTTGATTCGGACCCGTTAATTACCCTTTTTCAAACGAGTAGGAAAGTGTTGAGATCTGAAGTCCCGCTCGGCGCTTGGGAAGAAAATTAATGGGAATGAAGGAGACAGAAAAAAGAGGAGAAACCCTGACGGCTTTGGGGCACAAAGGAGCCRCTGGTTCCGAAATAATTGGGGTGGACCCAGCTGGGATCAAAGGGTTTCAGCTGTGGGGAGCTCTGGGGCTGGCACTGACATGTTTTGGGTCCTTTTGGGGTGACTTTGGGGCACTGACACMTTTTGGGTCCCCTTTGGGGTCCCCTTTGAGGCACTGAAACCTTTTGGGTCCCCTTTGGGATCCTTTTTTGGGCACTGACAAATTTTAGGTCCCTTTCAGGTTAACTTTGGGACACTGACACATTCTAGGTCAGTTTTAGGACCCTTTTGGGGCACTGACACATTTTGGATCCCCTTTTGGGGTGACTTTGGGACACTGACACGTTGTTTAGGTCAGTTTTTGGACCCTTTTGGGGCACTGGCACGTTTTAGGACCCCTTTCGGGTCCCCTTTGGGGCACTGACACGTTTTAGGTCCTTTTTGGGGTGACTTTGGGGCACTGACACATTTTAGGTCCCTTTTAGGACCCTTTTGGGGCACTGACATGTTTTAGGTCCCCTTTGGGGTGATTTTGGGGCACAGTGACATTGAGGCCATCCCTGGGTTGCTCCTGAGGACAAACGCTGACAGTTCTCGATGGCTTTGGGGTTTTGGGCCATCCAGGGCAGTCCCACACCCACAATGGACAATGGCTCATGGGTTTTTCACCCTTTCTCACTTTTGTCCATTTGCACAAAATCGGGGCTGAATCCTCCAATTGCAGCTGCAGCCAATGCAGTCAAAAACTCCAACTTGGCTCCCCCCAATTCTYTSTTSTTTCCATYTCTTGGGGYCTGGCMCAGGGAGGTGTCCTTGAGTTTGGGGCTGCAGAGGAATTATTTTGTGTAAAAATGGGAGAGCAGGAGCTCAGCACTGTCTGTGGAGTCTGGAGTTAAGCACTGAACAATCACAGGGGTATAAAAAATTATGAAAAATAAAGAAGTTCAAATCCTAAGGGATCAGGATGAGCCTGGAGGGCTTTTCCGGCCTGGATATCTCAGGGATTCATGCCCTTTCCCTGGGATAATTCAGTGATTCCTGCCCTTTTCCCTGGATATCTCTGTGATTTCTGTCTTTTCCCTGGATAACTTGGGGATTTGTGCCCTTTCCCTTGGATAATTCAGGGATTCGTGCCCTTTTCCTTGCATAACTCGGTGATTTGTGCCTTTCCCTGGATAATTGTGTGATTCATGTCCCTTTCTGTGGGTAACTCAGTGATTCGTGCCTTTCTGTGGATAATTCAGTGGTTTGTGCCCTTTCCATGGATAATTCAGTGTTTCATGTCCTTTTCCTGGATAACTCGGGGATTTTTGCCTTTTCCTTGCATAACTCAGTTATTTGCACCCTTTTGCCTGGATAATTGTGTCCTTTTCCATGGATAACTCAGGGGATTTTTGCCTTTTCCCTGGATAACTCATTGATTCGTGCCTTTCCCTTGATAATTTTGTGTAATTGATGTCCCTGTCCCGTCCCCAGCACCCTGTGGTGGCCACCTGACAGCTCCCAGTGGAACCATCCTGTCCCCAGGCTGGCCTGGCTTCTACAAGGACTCGTTGAGCTGCGCCTGGGTCATCGAGGCACAGCCGGGCTACCCCATCAAGATCACCTTCGACAGGTGCTCCCCAATTCCCAATTTGGGTTTTTTTGGTGATCCTAAAGCAGGGTGAGGAGCTGCTCCAGCACCGAGGTTCTCCCCGACTCTTTTTGATTTAAGAGCTCCTGGCAGGGCATTAAAATTCACCCATTAAAATTAAAATTCTTGGGGAAGGAAAGGTAGAAATGGAGCTTTTTCCACCTCTTTTCCTGACAAACTCCTGCTTGATTTTGGGGTTGTTTCAGACCATTTTTGGGGCTGAGCTCCTGGGTATTCCTGGGAGCTCAACCTCCCAAAATATTTTTATTTACAAGTTTTTATTAGCTTAAAATTCACCCAGCATTGGGCAGAGATGGAGCTTTTCCCCTCTTGATTTTATGAATTCCTGCTCAGTTTTGGGTTTTTTTCAGACAGGTTTTTGCATGATCCTGGGATCTCAGACCCCCAATTTTTTTTATTTATGAGCTCCTGACTGGCCATTAAAATTTATCCAACTCTGAGGAAGGAAAAGTGGAAATGGAGTTTTTTCCCCTCTTTTTTTGATGAATTCCTGCTCATTTTTAGGGTTGTTTCAGACAGGTCTTTTGGGTCTGAGCTCCCACGTGATTCTGGCAGCTCAGCCCCCAAAATTTTTGTTATTTACGAGCTCCTGGCAGGGCATTAAAATTCCCACTGGTTGGGAATGCAGTTTTCCCACTTGTTTTCTCACAAACTCCCGCTCATTTTCAGTGCTGTTTCAGACCCATTTTTAGGGGTTGATCTCCCACACGTCCCACTAAAAAAAAAAGAAAAACAATGAAAAATACAGAAGCTGAAATCCTGAGGGATCAGCACTAAAACCAGGACAAAGGAGCAGCTTTTGGGGTTTTCAGGTCCCTCATGTCCCTTCCAGATTCAAGACGGAGGTGAACTACGACACGCTGGAGGTGCGCGATGGCCGCTCGTACTCATCGCCGCTGATCGGGGTCTACGATGGCACYCAGGTGCCACAATTCCTGATCAGCACCAGCAACCACCTCTACCTGCTCTTCACCACCGACAAGAGCCACTCCGACGTCGGCTTCCAGATCCGATACGAGAGTAAGGAGTTCCTGAAGTGATGGATGGGGTGGATTGGTCATTCTTGGGAATTCTGAAAGTAATCGTTGGGTGGTTTGGTCATTCCTGGGAATTCCCTCTCTCCTACCTCTTACTTTGGGAATTTTCCCTCTCTCAATTTCCTTCACTCTGGGAATTTTCCTCTCTCCATTTCCTTCACTCTGGCAATTTTCCTATCTCCATTTCTTCTCACTTTGAAGATTCCCCTCTCTCCACTTCCTCTCACTTTGGGATTTTCCTCTCTACATCCTCTCATTTTGGGGATTTCCCTTTCCCCATTTCCTCCTCTCATTTTGAGAAATTTTCCTCTCTCCATCCTCTCATTTTAGGGGTTTCCCTTTCTCCATTTCCTCTCACTTTGGGATTTTCCTCTCCCTTTGGGATTTTCCTCTCCCCATTTCCTCCTCTCATTTTGAGGAATTTTCTTCTCTCCATCCTCTCACTTTGGGATTTCCTTCTCCCCACTCACTCTGAGGATTTCCCTTTCTCCATTTCCTCTCAGTTTGGGATTTCCCTCTCCCCTCTCACCCTGGGGATAACCACCGGGATCTGGAACGATCCCATAGGATTATTGAACCCCCCCTGAGCCCCTCAGTGCCCCCAGAGCCGTGACCCCACCCCTCTTTTCCCCAGCTGTGAAGCTCCAATCCGACCATTGCCTGGACCCCGGCATCCCGGTGAACGGGCAGCGCCACGGCAACGATTTCTACGTGGGAGCGCTGGTGACATTCAGCTGCGACCCCGGCTACACCCTGAGCGACGGCGAGGCCCTGGAGTGCGAGCCCAACTTCCAGTGGAGCCGGCCTCTGCCCAGCTGCGAGGGTGAGGGAATGTCTGGGGTGGGGGGAACCTTCACCTGACATCTCCAGCTGCTGGAAAAACGGCCAGTGACATCTCATCCACGGATTGGGTTGGATTGAATGGGCTGATCATGGATTTTATTGGATTGGATGGGCTGATCATGGATTGGGTTGGATTGGATGGGCTGATCATGGATTTTATTGGATTTCCATGGGCTGATCAATAGGTTTTATTGGATTTGGATGGGCTGATCCGTGGATTGGATTTGGATGGGCTGATCATGGATTTTATTGGATTTGGATGGGCTGATCCATGGATTTTATTGGATTGGATGGGCTCATCCATGGGTTTTATTGGATTTGGATAGGTTGATCCATGGATTTTATTGGATTTCCATGGGCTTATCCATGGGTTTTGTTGGATTTGGATTGGCTGATCTTGGATTACATTCAGATTGGCTGATCCATGGCTTTTTGTTGGATTGGATGGGCTGATCCACGGGTTTTTATTGGATTTCCATGGGTTGATCCATGGATTTTGTTGGATTTCCATGGGTTGATCCATGGATTCTGTTGGATTTTGTTGGGTTAATCCATGGATTCTGTTGGATTTGGTTGAGTTGATCCATGGATTTTATTGGATTTCCATGGGCTGATCCATGAATTCAGTTGGATTTCAATGGGTCACTCCATGCATTTTTTTGTATTTCGATGGGTTGCTCCATGATTTCCGTTGTATTTTGTTGAGTGAATCCATGAATTCCATCAGATTTTCCAGGATTTGGATTTTATTTCTCCTTTTCGCTGCCCTCCCAGCCCATCCAAACCCTTTTTAACCATTTTCCTCTCATGGGTTCTGCATTGGCAGCTCTCTGTGGGGGTTACATCCGCGGCTCCAGCGGCACCATCCTCTCCCCGGGCTTCCCGGATTTTTATCCCAACAACCTGAACTGCACCTGGACCATCGAAACATCCCACGGGAAAGGTGAGACGCCTCAGGAGTGAGGGTGGCCATGGGCAGTGGGAAACAGATTAATTAGAGTAATTAGATTAATTAGAATAATTGCTCCCTCTGTGATCCAAGAATTTCTCCCGGGAATGACGATTCCGTTGTCCCTGGTGAGATCCGGAGGGTTTTGGTGCCACATCCCTTCAAAGTGGAGAGGATTCTGAGGGAAAAAACAGTTCCATGTCTTCATCCACAGCCTGGGTTTGGGGTCATCCCCTGTTCCAGGCTTTTGTTGTGTTGTCCTGGAAATTTGGATGTAAATGGGTGTGGATAGATCCAGAAATCCTGGAAATCAGGATGTGAATGGATGTGGATATGGATGTGGATGGATGTGGATAGATCCAGAAATCCTGGGAGTGCCAGGATGTAGATGGGTCTGGATGGATCCAGAAATCCTGGAAATTTGGGTGTGGATGAGCGTGGATGGATCCAGAAATCCTGGAAATTTGGATGTGGATATGGACATGGATATAGATATATGTAGATATCCTGGAAATTTGGATGTAGATGGATGTGGATGGATCCAGAAATCCTGGAAATCAGGATGGATATGGGTATGGATATGGATATGGATATGGATATGGATATGGATATGGATATGGATATGGATATGGATATGGATATGGATATGGGTGTGGGTAGATCCAGATGTCCCGGAAATTTGGA